CATTGCAGTCGAGAGTGGAGAAAGGTCTGCAGGACACAGATGGAGGGCCCATACGAAGGAGTACCATTTGAGCCGGCCTAAGCAGAAGTGTAGACCACAGATTTTCTGGTCTTGACAGGATGGTGGCCCTGTGTTTGGAGTAGGGAAACACGTTCTAGAGTGTTCCTTGGCCCGCCTGGAAGACAAGAGAGTCTGGGAGGGTGGGGCACGAAGGCAGAGAGTTACCTACCTAGAGCACCCAAATTTTGGCCTTAATCAAATCGGCAGTCTCCAGCAACAGCAAAGACTACCCAGGCTAAGGGGGTGTAGGTCAAGATGCATGGTAGAAGGAAGGATGGATTCTGGAGAGACGCGCCTGCCTCACGGTCCTGGACCTGACCACTGGTGAAAGCCTCCAGGAAGCATGCACACACGCACAGAGTCTGCCAGGTTTTTGTCTTAGGCTGTCGCCCGTCATTGCTGACCCTGGGGTTGGAAGCATTCTCTTCGCTGCCAATATAAATTCACTGCATGCTCACAGGTGCCTTCAGGAAACCTGGGGACAGGTAACCTCCATGTACTTGAACACGCGGAAGCAGTATGAATGGCTGCACTTCAGCGAGGACTGTCTCTACCTGAATGTTTATGCCCCAGTGCTAGCGCCTGGGGACCCTCTGCTGCCGGTGAGTACTCTGTTTTACACACACACACACACACACACACACACACACACACACACACACCACTACAGTACAGCCCAGCTCAGGCTTTGGAGACCTTTCTTGCCCAGGTGATGGTTTGGTTTCCGGGAGGCGCCTTCCTCGTCGGCTCTGCTTCCACCTACGAAGGCTCGGAGTTAGCCGCCCGCGAGAAAGTGGTGCTGGTGTTTCTGCAGTACAGGCTGGGCATCCTAGGCTTCTTCAGGTGGGCCTTGGACCAGGGGCGGGGCCTTCACCTATCTGCCATAGACTCAGAAAGTGGGGGACTGGAGGAAGGGGGCTTGGTCCGTGGGCGGGATCGAGTGAAGAGGGTAGTTCAAGCTCTGAAGACTCTGGATACTCTCATGAGCGAGCAAGTCTAAGGAAGCCTTAGATGGGGAACCATGACAGCTCTCTGAATCCTGACGATCAAATTTGGAAACACTGACCATGAATCTCGTGTGCCTAGCACGGGCGACAGCCAAGCCCGCGGAAACTGGGGGCTGCTGGACCAGATAGCGGCTCTGCACTGGGTTCAGGAGAACATCGAGGCCTTTGGTGGAGACCCGGACAGTGTAACACTATTCGGTCAGTCGGCGGGAGCTATGAGCATCTCGGGACTGGTGAGTGTGATTTCCACTAGACCAGCAGAGACACAAGCCAGCATGTTACCACAGTGCACAGGCTCGTATGCAGACCTGTGTCCACAAACCAGCATTTCACCCCTGCTAAGGATACCATTCACACCAGGGGCACAACCCCTCATAGCCAAGGGTGCTTTCTCTTCAAGAGGTCACCATCAAGGGTGACCTAGCGACATAGTAAATTTGAAAACAATATAGACTACATAAAACCCTGTCTCTCTCTCTCTCTCTCTCTCTCTCTCTCTCTCTCTCTCTCTCTCTCTCACACACACACACACACACACACACACACACATCAAATCCAAAAAGACAGGCAGATCTGTAGTCCCAGCATTCCCGTGGCAGACCTGAAATGCCGGAACTATACAGGCCTCCCTGTTCTGAACTAACAAGTTAATTGGTAATAAATAATATCAAAGTCCAAGGAGAAAAGCGTTGCCATCCTCATCTCACAGATGAAGACCCCCACGCAGAGAAGAGAAGCACCTCTCTCCAGTTCAGTGTCCTAGAGAGCCCGGACGGGTTTTTCTGTGTGGTCTGGTTTGGCTCGGATCTTTTTGTTGTTGTTTGTTGACACTGGGTCTCACTCTGCTTCCCTTGCTGGCCACAGACTTGGTATTTAACCAAGCTAGTCTGGAATTTGCTATGTAGACAAGGTTGGCCTCAAACTTGTGGCTTGCAGCCAGCCTCCTGAGAGCAGGGACAGATGTTAAGCAGGGAAGTGATAAGATCAGACGTGGATTTAGAGAGGTCTCTGTCTTTCTTCTGCATGGAGCTGACATAGGAAAAAGCAGGAAGTCGGGCTTGGAGGCCCAGCTGGAAGGTGGGGGAGTAGGGTTTATCCCAGAGGAATAATGAGGGTAGGAAGGATGGAGAATAAAGGGAGATTGCTGAGTGGTTCACAAGGCCAAATGGTCAGGAATGACTGGAATAGCTGCATGTGGCAGAGGGCAGAAGAGGGACAGCCCCCAAGCTGGGTGGATAATGTCAAAAGAGAAGGTTCTACCCAGTTGGAGATTGACTAGAACAGGTTTGAGACACATAAATTCTGAGGTGTCCAAATGACTTCTCTGAAAGAGCTGTTAGCATAGGTAATTGGAGCTGTGACTATGGGGTTCCACCCACCCTTGCTTGTAAACTGTAGCAGAGAAAAAAAAAAGCCCTATGCATATCAACAGATCACCTCCCATATCCTCAGGTCAACTCTGGGACCTCTAGAGCCCACTGCATAGATCAAGAACTGAAAGGTGCTGGCTTTAAGTCTAGGACTCTAGCGAAGATCCATGGCTCCCGCCAAGATGCTTATCTCTCAGGCTACTCAGAAAGAGTTAGGCAGGCACTGGAAACAACTCAGTTGCCCCTATTTATGGATCTCATGGGTGTTCTGTGCTTCCAATCCCTACAGCTGATGTCACCCCTTGCCCAAGGTCTATTCCATCGGGCCATTTCCCAGAGCGGTACTGCGATACTGAAAGTCTTCATCATGTCTGATCCATTGAAGGCAGCCAAGGTGGGTACCACTCCTCTCCCAGGGCTCAACAAGAGGGAAGAAGGATGGAGGCATCCCTAGACACCCTTTCTCTCTACAGAAGGTTGCTCACGTGGCTGGCTGCGACCACGACAACACAAAGATCATGGTAGCATGCCTGAGGGCTCTATCGGGGAATGAGGTGATGCACGTTTCCAAGAGGATGGTAGGTAGAACATTCCAGTTGTCTTCCCTTTCAGCCTATGGACTATAGCCGCCAGTAGATACGTCCCCAGGGGGCCTGTCTCTAGAACACATTGGGGAGTTTCTTTTGATCCTATCTCTTTCTCTCTTTTATAGGCATTCTTTCACGTCAACCTCAAGAAAGATCCAAACGATGTGAGTAAGCAGTGGCCTGGAACTTGAGAGTTCATTGAATACCTACTGTGTGCCAGGTCCTTGTGATGCTTGAGGAACTATGCAGGCCAATTTCCCTTCCCTAGTGGGTCGGACGCCCCACTGGAGAGAGACACAATAAGTCCTATAAATAAGTAAACTACTCAGCTTCCTAGAAGGTAATAGCAACAAGGGGAGGGATCAGGCATGGTGAGAGGTATAGAATTTAAAATAGAATCAATAATATTTGTCTCATTGAAGGGCTAGTTCATAAGGATTTTCAAGAGCTATGGAATGAACTGTGAGCATGTCTGGAGCAAGCATCTGAAGTCTCAGTAGCTGGTCCTGTCTGCCCTGGTCCCTCCTGACACTCACCTTCCTAAGTGTAATTGTGGGCAATCTCAGTTTTTACCAAAAGAGCTTAAGCTAGGCCAGGTCCTGAGACAGACCTGATGAGCTGAGCATCCAAGTCACACAGGCCTCCAGAGAGTATGTGGAATGACTAGCTGGAAAACGCCCCTGGTCTTGCAGATGGTATGGTTCCTGAGCCCTGTGGTGGATGGTGTGGTGTTCCCAGAGGACCCTGTGGTGCTCCTGACCAGCGGGCAGGTTACCCCTGTGCCCTACCTTTTAGGTGTCAACAATGTGGAGTTCGAGTGGAGCTTGCCTTTTGTGAGTGGATGGGAAAGGTGCTCTCTCAGAGGGTTTGTAAAGGGATGCCCCTTGAGCAGTGTTTGGGTACCAAGTTAGATCTCAGTGGCCCCACTGAGGATGCAGAAGTTACCTGTATTCCTTGTGCAGGGACAGTTGGCCAGGAATGATAGAGAGGCATTGGGAGAGGTGTAGTCAACCCCTGAGCCTGCTAACAACTATACACCTTATGGGCCTCCTTTACTCCCTGTGTGAGGGCAAGTGCCATAGCTCAAGACAGGCCCTCCCAGTGCTGCTTCAGCTCAGAACCAGGTGGTGATGACAGACAGTGAGCAGGGCAGGGTGTGGGTCTTGCCTGGGCTATGCCTTGTCTGAGAATTCTACATGCAGACAGGCAAGAGCTCAGGCCTGATTCATCCCTGGGTCCTTTTCTTGTGATCAGCTCTTGAAGCTCCAGCTGACTCAGCACGCAATGAACGAAAAATACCTCACCAAACTGCTTTGGAGTTCCAGCACCCTGCTGGTGAGGGGTCCCATGGTTGGGTTGTTTAGTATGTGACCAGGACTAAATACCACACACGCTTCTTTAAGAACGTAGGGCTTGCTCTGCACAAGGGTTCCTGAGATAGGAAAGCCCTCAAGGAATTTGACGTGGGATGAGATGGTTGCTGATGGGCAAGGTCATAGGAGGCAGTTCTCCTGGGGCAAAAGTGTGGGGGGGCGGTAAGAATCAATGAAGATTGTGGGGCAGTGGTGGCACATGCCCTTACAGCACTTGGTAGGCAGAGAGGCAGGTGGATCTCTGTGAGTTCAAGGCCAGCCTGGTCTACAGAGTGAGTTCCAGGACAGCCAGGGCTACACAGAGAAATCATGTCTTAAAAAAAAAAAAAGCATCAGTAGGATGAAGACCATCATAGAAACCCCATTCCCCAAAGTCCTGGAGAGTTGAGGCTGGGTGTAAGCCAATGGTGCACACACCCCTGGCCAGCTGGTATAGCAGGCCTCAGGGTGGGTCTTGCGTCCTGGCCCAGAATATCACTAAGGAGCAGATCCCACTGGTGATGAAGGAGTACTTGATTGACGCTGCCGTTAAGCATGACTGGAAGACGGTCCGCAACCACTTGCTAGATCTAATTGGAGATGCCACCTTCGTGTACTCCACCCTTCAAGCCGCACGCTACCACCGGGGTATGAGGCCCCTGAGAGTAACCACATTGCTCCCCTTCACTGTCCAGCTGAGCTGCTTCCAACGGGAGTCACCAGCTCTTCCCCCACCTGCTTCATACTTTGGGCTATCCTAGAACTCAAAGAGGCCACAGAGAAGGCAGCAAGCCAGAGGAAGAGCTGTCCCTGAGGAATAAGGGCAAAACCTCAACCACCCTACTGGAGAAAGCTGGGGGGGGGGGCGGGGAGCAGAGACAGTACCCTAGGTTAAGAGGACGGGCTTAAGAATAACTTAAAAGGCAGGCTGACTGGGCTTGGGAATATGAGAATGAGAGGTCAAAGGTGAGGCTGGAAAGGACAGCCATTAAAGGCCCTTAAATACCATGTCCGGAACAGAAAGCTCAAAAGAGGGAAAAAGACAGCTTCCAAGAGCCTTGGCATGATGAGGAACTGCCGCTCAGAGAGTTTGAGTGGCACACTGGTGGCTAGTGCAGGCAGGATTCGAACTTGCCCCATGACTGACTGTAAACCTGAAGGCCTGCCCTATGTTGATGGGTGGGACGCATTGGGTCGATGGGAACTTAGCTCAGGTGAAGGCTCTTCCTGCAGCTCTCACCTGTTTCATTATTCACAGATGCTGGCTTCCCTGTCTATCTGTATGAGTTCAAGCACCGTGCTCCTTCAGGCATAATTGTCAAACTTCGACACGATGGGGCAGACCATGGAGACGAGCTTGCCTATATCTTCGGAAGCCCTTTCTCCAAAGGTCCTAATGCCCTACCTGACACCTAATCTCCCCACCAGGCATGAAGACCCACACCTCCATTGGCTGACCACAGGGAACTATCTAGTCCCTCGTGTGGAATGTACCCCTCCCCCATTCAGAGTGGGAGGCTGGTACCCCCAGCTCTTTCCAAAACACCATATCCTCTTCTGCCCCCAGGCTCATCCACCAGTGAGGAAAAGGAATTTAGCCTCCAGATAATGAAATACTGGGCCAACTTTGCCCGCACTGGGTGAGTCTAGCCCCTTACACATATAAACAATACTAGGGCCACAGGAACTAGACAGTCAAGCCCGGGCCCTTCTTTTCCTTGTCAGTCATGGAGTCCTTAATGTCCCTAGAATGTGTCTCCTCTGTCCCACGATGCACACTCTTCATTCATTCATCCAGTAGTATCTCAACAATGTTCTCCTTTGTATCTGACCCTGGTACTGGAAGCTGGGGTTCAAGGATGTCCTAAGCATGTGCTACATCCTCCTCACCCCACTATATGAAAATCAAATTCCAAACAGGCACAATGGGAGCTGTCCCACTGGGATCACTGGGCCATAGGGAGCATCAAGGAGGGGTCTGGCCCTTTTTGATTGGCAGAGGTGGCTTCAAGTGAAGGTGACACTTTAACTGAACTTTGGGTCCCCCATGCATATTTTACTAGGCCTACTTTCTCTCCCCCATCATCCTGTAACACTCTGAAGTATCATCTAATCAGATTACTCACTTGCTTAAAACCCTTGCTCCTAGCTGGGCGGTGGTGATGCACATCTTTAATCCCAGCACTCAGGAGGCAGAGACAGGTGGATCTCTTTGAGTTCGAGGCTAGCCTGGTCTACAGAGTGAGCTCCAGGACAGGCTCCAAAGCTACAGAGAAACCCGGTCTCAAAAAGCAACAACAACAACAACAACAAAAAGTGTTCATGTTCTCAGAGTAAATCTCCATTCTCTTAGCTTGTCGTGAAAAGCCAAGAATCTTTCCTATGCCGTCATCATTCTCCTGCACACATACCCTCTTTATACCTTTATATTTTCCCTAACCTTGTACTGCCTGGAAGCTCACCTCTGCCACCTCCTTCCCTGGGGGTTGCTATGCAGCCTACACTGGCCTCAAACTCACAATTTCCTGCCATCACCTCCCCAGCGCTGTGATATAAGTGTTCAGCATCCATCACACCAGCTCTCCTACTCTTTCACAAGATCTGTCTAAGCATCATTGCCGCAAAGCCTTCCTGGATCTCAGCTTCCCACGGGAGAGTAGATGAAGGAAAGGTAAGAGGGACAAGCTGAATAAACAGGAGTATGACACTAATCTCTTTCCACCTTGGGATTAGGGACCCCAATGACAGAACGCTGCCCTACTGGCCACGCTTTGACAAGAATGAAAAGTACCAGCAGTTGGACTTCGATACAAGTGTGGGTGTGAAGCTCAAAGAGAAAAAGATGGCTTTCTGGAGAAGGCTGCACCAGCCTCAGAAAACTTAGAAGCAGCAGCAACCCTGAGAGTAACCAAGCAAGAGAGAACTATCCTACCATCCTGCCTCAAGGAGATTGGCCCTGGATATGTCTGAGGACAGCAGTCCTGTCTACTGAATGTGGGACCTGGAGATGCTCCTGGCTGCCTTCAGGCTATAGCTGGAGCCCCAGTCCGTCATGTGGGGCTCAGCACCACCTGTCCAGCCTGACACCCCATAGATCACTGTCTACACCAGGCCAGGGACTTTTCATCACACTGTGCTCTGCCCCCTCAGCCTCAGGATAATCTCTTCTCTCTCTTTTCCAGGTCCTCTTACCCCTCATGATGTTTTCAGACCCCTCTTATGGAGGGTTCACACAGGCTGTCACTTTCTGTCATTGCACCCTGCCATCATTGATCATCTACCCTGTCCAACCTGCCTGCTCGTGCTTGCCTCGAGGACCCAGACAATCTATTCATGGCATGGGGCAAAGCTTTGATGGCTTGGGATCTGTTCCCCTACCCACACTCATCTCCCCTGGGGCCCTTCAAAAGCCTGTACCTAGGGACAATGCTCAATAAAAATGGGTTCTTCTCATCCTGAATTTCTCTCTCTCTGTAAAATAATTGGGTGAAATGGATGTTATCTCAGTTTCTCTTAGAGTAATAAAATGTTGCTACTTGCTGCTTTTTGGGCTGTACTTGCTAGAAGGGCTGAAGCAAAGTCACTTAGGGTGCAAAAATTCAGTTAGTGCCAGATGTGGTGGTTTCTAAAGGAGGTAGCCCCCTCAGAGTCAGCACAGGACATACACAGACACCAAATTCTCAGCACGAAGGAGATTTATTACCCTAGAGGGAAAAGGGGAGATGGGCTGCAAAGATGGCAGCAGCAGCAGCAGCAGCAGCAGCAGCAGCAGCAGCAGCAGCAGCAGCAGCAAGGAGGAGGTTTTCTCAGGAGTGAGTGTTTGTTTGCTTGTTTGGGGATTGTTTCTTGTTTTTGTTTTAGATTGTTTATTGATTTGGTTGGTTGATTGACTGGTTTTTCTCTTTTTTAATATTTATTTATTTATTCATTATGGATACAATATTCTGTCTGTGTGTATGTCTGCAGGCCAGAAGAGGGTACTAGAACTCATTACAGATGGTTGTGAGCCACCATGTGGTTGCCGGGAATTGAACTCAGGACCTTTGGAAGAGCAGGCAATGCTCTTAACCACTGAGCCATCTCTCCAGCCCGGATTGACTGGTTTTTTCAAGACAGGATTTCTCTGTAGAGCCCTGGCTTTCCTGGAACTTGCTCTGTAGACCAGGCTGGCCTCAAATTCAGAGATCCACCTGCCTCTGCCTCCCAAGGACTGGGATTAAAGGCGTGGGACACTACCACCCATCAGGAGCAGGCTTTTAAGGGGGAAAAAAGGAGGGGGGATCTGTCTAGGGTGAGTTGGTAAATCCTGATTGGACATGTTACCAAATAATTAATTTTGATTGTTGGATCTTAGTATTCTGTCTGAGGAATGAGTCAGTGGCTAGATAAGGGAATGGCCCTTGGGGACTAGCTTTAGAAATTGAATCTAATGGTTTTTCAGCAAGGGGGAGAATAGGAACTTGTCAGCACCATGTTTGCTGTGCATGGGCCTGCTAGAGCCCTTCAGTAGTGAACACCTGTAATCTCAGCATTTGAAAAGTGAGAAAAGGGAATCCAGGTGTCCAAGGTCAACTTCAGCTACACATAGTTTGAGTCCAGCCTAGACAACATAAGACTACATCTCAACAACAGCAAAACAGAAAGAAAAGTTTGGCTTGCTCCTTCTCTATCTCCAGTGCATCATGCCTCTCCCACAAGGGTATCATCAGGACACCACACCTCATGCTCAAATACATTTAGGCCCAACCCTCCCATCCTCCTCACTCTCCTGAACACATCCGAACCTTTTTGTTTGTTTGTTTTTGAGACCGTCTCACTTTGTAGCTCTGGCTAACCTAGGACTTGTGTTGACAGGGCTGGCCTTGAACTGCCTCTGCCTCCAGAGTGTTGGGATTAAGGCGTGACCATCAGTTTTCGTCAGCTTTCTTCCATTTGGGGGGGGGGGGGGAACCAGGTCTTCTGCCTCAGCTTCCTGAATACTACGATTACAAGAGTGGGCCACCAAATTCAGACCCATCATCTTTTTTAATATGCTTATTCAAACCAGGCATGGTGGCACACACCACAGAGGTAGACAGACCTCTGTAAGTTCCAGGCCAGCCGGGTCTACAAAGAGAATTCCAAGACAGCCAGAGCTACATAGAGAAACCCTATCTCGAAAAAGAAGCACACACGCACTTATTCATTTATTATTTGTTTATGTTTTAGTGTGGGGGTTGTGTGTGTGTGTGTGTGTGTTACTGTGCCTGTGTGAAGGTCAGAATACAGTTTCGAGAGTTGGTTCTCTTCTTCAGGATTGTGGGCTCACACCTTTATCCACTGAGATACCTCTGCAGTCCCTTGCTTTCTTTTTAAAAGATTTGCTTTAGCTTTGTAGTTACATGTATGTATGTTGCGTATGTGTGGGCACCCGTGGAAGCCAGAGGATGATGCCGGATCTCCTGGAGCTGGAGTTTCATAGAAGTGGTGTGAGCCACCTGACTGGGGTGCTGGAAAGTGGAATGCTCTGGAAGGGCAGCAAGTGACCAAGTGCTCTGCTGAGCCATCTCTCGAGGTCCTGGACCCACTCTCTGTCTTCAGGAATTTAACTCTTTCAGATTCCTTATAGAGTAAGCTCATAATTTTGCCCTTTCATGCCTAGCGTGATATCGTAATGTCTATGGAGTTCATCCATGTTGTTGAATGTAACAATTTTGTTTTATTTTATGTATTTTTATATCCATCAGATATTTCAGTTGTTTAAAAGAGAAAAAAAGATTTATGTTGGGGGATGGAGAGATGGCTCAGAGGTTAAGAGCACTGACTGCTCTTCCAGGCACCCTGAGTTCAATTCCCAGCAACCACATGGTGGCTCACAACCACTTGAACGAGATCTGGTGCCCTCTTCTGGAGTGCAAGCATACATGCAAGCAGAACACTGTATACATAATTAATAAATAAATTTTGTTTTCTTTTGTTTTTCAAGACAGGGTTTCTCTGTAGCTTTGGAGCCTCTCCTGGAACTAGCTCGTGGTGACCAAGCTGGCCTCGAACTCACAAGATCTTCCTGCTCCTGCTTCCCGAATGCTGGGATTAAAGGCATGTGCCACCACCACCACCCAGCTAAATAAAGAAATATTTTTTATTTATTTATTTATTTATTTATTATGTATACAATAGTCTCTCTGCATGTATGCTTGAAGAGGGCACCAGACCTCGTTACAGATGGTTGTGAGCCACCATGTGGTTGCTGGGAATTGAACTCAGGACCTTTGGAAGAGCAGGCAATGCTCTTAACCGCTGAGCCATCTCTCCAGCCCCCCCTTTTTTTAAAAAAAAGATTTTATTTATTTATTATGTATACAACATTCCTTCCCTGTATGCTTGCATGCCAGAAGAGGTCACTAGATCTCATTACAGATGGCTGTGAACCACCATGTGGTTGCTGGGAATTGAACTCAGGACCTCTGGAAGAGCAGTCAGTGCTCTTAACCTCTGAGCCATCTCTCCAGCCCCTATAAATAAATCTTTAAGAAAAAAAAGATTTAAGTTGTTTCCACCTCTTAGTTATTGTGACTAATTCAACTACACATATCTGTGTAATCCCCCCCCCCCCAAAAAAAACACAGTATTTTCATTGATTCGATTCAGGCTTCTCCTAATTTTTTTCAAGGAGGGCAGACTTTTTAAGGTTCTGTGTATGTTTCAACCATGTCTAACTTTAGCAAGAGCCCTGCCAACAGTTTAACCGGATATCCAGCTCCCACTCAGTATCTGATCTCCCTCCGTAACTAATGGAGTTCCTCATCCCACGCATCCTCCACCTTGGCCTGTCTTCAGCCAAACCCATTAGATAAGTGGACTGCGGAGTTGGCTCTGTATTTAAAAGCACTGGCTGCTCTGCTGGAGGACCCAGGTTCGGTTCCCAGCACACCCATCCCTGCCTCCAGTTCCAGGGGACCTGATGCCCTCTTCTGGCCTCTGCAAGAACCAAGTGCTGCACAGACACATGCAATCCAGGCACCCATACCCATAAAATAAATGTTTTTAAATTTTTCTGAAAAATTGCTAGATGCCTTTAACCATAACTGCTTCTTGTTAGTAGTTTTTTCACCCATTGACCACACTGTTCTTGATTATAGATTCCCACTCAGCTATGCTATATTGAGATTTGAGCCAAATTTTTCTCTTCCTCACTGTGAAATTCCATTGCAAAGGTCCTATGCTTATTTCGTTGACCTGGAATGAAGCCTACCTGTCTTCTCTGAGCTTTAATTTATTTTTTTATTCTATCTTTTAAAGATTTATTTTTTATGTAAGTGAATGTTTTGCCTGTAAGTGTGTATGTATGCCTTGTGACTGTGTGTGTGTGTGTGTGTGTGTGTATGTGTGTTGGGGTGAGAGTCTAGTCTAGTCTAGCCTGGTGACTTCAGAGGTCAGCAGAGAGCATCGGATCCCTGAAACTGGAAACACAGATGGTTGGAGCCACATGCTGGGTTTTCTGCAAGAGCAAAATGTGCTCTTAACCATTGAGCCATTTCTCCAGCCCTTATTTATTCTGGTTTTCAGATAGGATTTCAAATTGCAGTCCAAGCTGACCCAGAACTCATAAGGCAGCTGGGTCTGATCTTGACCCCTTAGCAATCCTCCTGTCTCCAAGGTTCTGGGATTGCTCACATGATTCACCGCACTCAATCTGATTTTCCTTTAAAATCCCTCTTTTAGGCATTTTTACCCAGACGTAAGAAAGGGTGTTCTCTGAGCTTTAATTTATTTTTTTATTCTATCTTTTAAAGATTTATTTTTTATGTAAGTGAATGTTTTGCCTGTAAGTGTGTATGTATGCCTTGTGACTGTGTGTGTGTGTGTGTGTGTGTGTATGTGTGTTGGGGTGAGAGTCTAGTCTAGTCTAGCCTGGTGACTTCAGAGGTCAGCAGAGAGCATCGGATCCCTGAAACTGGAAACACAGATGGTTGGAGCCACATGCTGGGTTTTCTGCAAGAGCAAAATGTGCTCTTAACCATTGAGCCATTTCTCCAGCCCTTATTTATTCTGGTTTTCAGATAGGATTTCAAATTGCAGTCCAAGCTGACCCAGAACTCATAAGGCAGCTGGGTCTGATCTTGACCCCTTAGCAATCCTCCTGTCTCCAAGGTTCTGGGATTGCTCACATGATTCACCGCACTCAATCTGATTTTCCTTTAAAATCCCTCTTTTAGGCATTTTTACCCAGACGTAAGAAAGGGTGTTCTCTGAGCTTTAATTTATTTTTTTATTCTATCTTTTAAAGATTTATTTTTTATGTAAGTGAATGTTTTGCCTGTAAGTGTGTATGTATGCCTTGTGACTGTGTGTGTGTGTGTGTGTGTGTGTATGTGTGTTGGGGTG